AAAAAAAAAAAAAAAAAAAAAAAAAAAAAAAACCAAAGAATGAGAAGGAAATTAAAAAGAAACGCATTCTATTTCACGCGATCAAAATTTTCAAGTAATTCAATCTGAAAAGTGCACAAGGGCATTCGAGCTTCATATTATCTTTGCCAATATCAAAAATTAATAAATAATTGCCAACCAGTGCAATTGCCATCAGCAGAACCAACATATACGTATCTCTGACCAGTACATACTGGCGAAAAACGAGCTCGAACAAGTGTGTGAAGCACAGAATGACCACCACGAAAAGTATATACAGACCCATCACCTAAATTTATAGATTAAAAAATATGTTAGTTCCGCTTGTCATAAAAAATAATTAAACTCTCAATAGAAGAAAAAGATCCTACAAAAGTATTATCATAAATGTCAAACCAATAAAACAAGTACCTTCTAAAGGTTCACTGTTAAATAACTCTTCTGGTACCGAAGCAACTCGATAATCCCAACATGAAAAAGATTGCCTCGCTAGGTTCTAAAACTCAGTAACAAAATGAGGACCAGAAATGTAAAAGTACGACGAATTCCCAAATGCATAAGAAACTGAGAAGAAGTGGCACGAGCAAACAACGAAAAGAAGCCAAAGATAAAAAAGGATACTTCAGCAGTATCAGCAGAAGAAAAGCATCTGATATCCCAAAGTTTGATGGTTTGGTCTTTAGAATTTGTTAGGATGTAGCGATCATCAGCCTTGGAATCAATGAAAGTAATGCCAGCTCGATGTCCTGCGAAAGATCCAACTGGGTGATCACTGTCATTTAGCAAGCGACGATCCCAAACCTTTAACGAACAAACAGATTACATTCAAAAAATGAAATAACTCTGCCCAAAACATAAAATAACCAAAAGAACTGTCCCATTACCTTACATATTGCATCATCGCCGGCACTAAAAAACAAATTTTTATTTGAAGCTCCAAAACAAACGGCATTTACGTCATCTTCATGAGGAATAAACTAAAAGAAATAATTTCACGAACATACTCCTATACACTATTTCAACCTTAAGAAACAACTAATAAATAAGACATCACAGTGACCGTTCTCGTATCTAGCATTTTTTGTTATAATATTAAGAAATGATTTCCCAAAAATAGTGAACTTTTTACATCCAAGATACGTTGCCCTCGCTTTAGGTCATAGATGTATATATGACCACTTGAAGACCCAGCAATTAATTCACTGCTTTCTTGATTAAATCTGATCGAAAAAATAGCAAACCTGAAATAAAAAAATAAATTGCCCAACAGACAAAACGAATAGTAACTTTAAAAATTTATTAAAAAAGGTTTTTTATCTGTACCTGCAGTGATATATAAGTTGTAGACTAGTTTAGCAAAGCACGATACAACGCAAAGTTTTAAGTTTAAAAAATGCAGGTCAAAGAAAAAAATATGCGGAAACCCGTCTTAAAGAGAATATTATATTATTAAATCGAGTTTCTGAATTTCATTTAATAGAATATATACCTTAAGCTGTCTAGTTCATCAATAATGTTCAAAGCAGTCCAAGAAGGCGCTCCGTGTTGTTCTTCAGGACTCATTTTACACTGATACACTTAATCAGGCAGCATTATTTTGACAAAAGTTACTCTCTGAAAGTCCTTGTCTGATCATTAATTTGACTTACATTTGTCGCTCCACGTACTGTAAATGCATCGTTCTGTACCGGGAATGGTGATAACATCCAAAAAAGCCCAGCCAACGTATGGTGCTCTAATCTGGTTCTTCAAGTAATACTTCTGCCGATAGCCCCTCCTCTCATAAAATCTAATGATATGATCTAAAAGAAAATTTCTCTGAAAATGAGACATAGCCTTTGAGACATTTCAACTCTCTGAATTGAGTCTTTTTTAAATGCCAGTGAACAACTTTAAGAAAAGCTTACTTTTTTTAATAAATTTACAAAAGTAACTATAATAAAATGTTTTTTAAGAAACTAACTCTTTTCCAAAAAGCTGCCCCAAAATAATGCTTTGAATTTGATTCATTCTCACTTGCTTATCTAAAAATTTCAGATGTGGGGAAAAGAAAGGGTAAAAATAAGATTTCTTACGCTCTTATTTCAGACCACTTTCTCGTTAATTATCAAATCAAAAGTTCAGCAATCTATTGTTAAACAAAGCAATGGCAATTTTACTCTTCCGCACAATGTTTCAAATTCGCAAGTCTACACTACTCAAATATATCACTGTTCAGAGCTCATTTAGGCTGGTGGCGTCACAGCCTGCCTCAGATACTGTTTACTGGAACTAAGATGGAATCACCAATCCAAACAGGGTGGCATATGGCACTTCAAGTATGGACGGGTTTGTGAGGCAAGGGGAACTAGCAAAAAGAATGACGAGTGCACGTTATGAAGAAACAGGAACAGTGAGTGTAAACTGTTGTACATCGTTAAATCATTAAACCAGCGAAGAACGCGACGCATAAATAAGTCAGTCAACCATGTAACACCGGATACTTCTAAACGCGGGAGTCGCAGCACTTGAATAATTAAGAACCAATCTGAGTCATTTACCCAGTGTCCAATTCAGCAAAGACTGCTTTTTGAATGTGTGCATTGAAAACACGAAACGGCTTAAGGCTTGCAGAGGT